CAATGGCATCGTCGAAGAGCATGGCTATAATCTGTGGAGGTAAGCGTTGGTCCTTTGACTTGTTCGGTACAGGCATACCATAAGCATTGCTAGTGTCGGCAAGTTCTTGAAGTGAAGGATTGCCTGGAGCATGCAGACCATCGAAAGCGAGGTGAGGCCTGCAGCGGCCACATCCAAGAGAGTTCCTGGGTGCCGTATGCCAGTACGCAGACTATCGATTCTCGACTCACGGCAGTGTTGCCGCAGCGTATTCTCACCCACTCCTGCAACAGTAATGACAACAAGCTGTGCAAGATAGACGAGCAGCGGATAGTGAAAGTTCGCTTCCACGAGAAGATGTCTTGCACTTAGCAGCGACAGTGTTGCGCACGCTGTCCATGCACACACTGGGTGCTGTCGTATGCGTTCTCGCGCATTCTCAAATGTGGCGGGTTTTGTTGCTTGAGTGGGATTGTCCATGGTGAAAGGGGATGGTGGAAGTGAAAGACCAATGTTGCGCTTGAAGAAGGAGCGAGCCCGAAGAATCAGGTCACTGGTACACAGTGCGACCACCTACCCTCACCCAGGGGCGGACGCTTGGAAATAGGCATGAGTAGTAAACATGGATGCCTGAATGAGCACTGCGGTAGTGGACATGCGTGCGAACAAGTGGAAAGTCGCCGATCGATTGCCCCTGCTGGACCCGAGTCACAGTGAAAATGAAGTGACACTGAAAGCAGACGAGTGAGCAGTGCATCATCATATCGGTTCTCTCATATATCGGACGCGTAATTTTATATGCAGTGGTCCGAGAAGGGTACCGTACTCATACTGCACCTTTTCACCTCCACTGGTACATTCCTGAAGCTGCGAATTTTTTCAGTATCAGCCAACCCTCCACAAAGGCCGACGGCCTCTAGGCTACTACATAGAGGCTGTTATAGCCGTCCTAGTAGTATTTAAACATGTGCGATACACCCAAATTATGAAGAGGCGTAGCGGATATGTTGTGTGATCGACGTGGTGAGGCTCGGGACAACATGCGTAACGGGTTGGTGTGACGGCGCCAACCATGCTTTCAGACAGCGTACATGTATCCTACGCATTGAGATACAATCTCATCTTGGGACGAAACTCATGAAGCTATTGTCCTGACGATTTGCAAGTCTGCTGTTGTGCACGCGTGTCTAAACCTCAGTTTGGAGTCCCGCGATTGACCCGGCTGGAACCCTTAGTACCAGCCAGTTTACTGATCCATGGTGGAGTTCCGACGGTGCCAACTTGCCAGAACAGTCGTGCATCGTCAAATCCGCTGTTGCTAGCGCAGTCCTGCGACTCTATCACTGAAGCTCGGTCACAATCCTTCAGTTTAGGCAAAGCGAACTTACCTATTAGTATTTCGCAATCAGTCTGGCGTACTCGGTCGAATGACGCGAAGACTTTGACTCCGTCCACCCCCTTTGTTACACTCCCAGTGGTGGGTCTGTTGGCAGTTGTCGGGAGCCCAATCGGTGATTGAGTCAAAACCCGCTCTCCTTCATATGCGCCGTCGACATCTAATACTAGTAACCCTGAAGACTGCGAAGAAATCCTTCCACAAGGCCTCTAGTTGCCGTGATTCCCTATAGCACCAACTTGCTCCCATGCATAAATCTATGGCTCCGAGCCTCGAGCAGATTAGTCCTTGGAGCTTCTGCATCTACGTGATGGTCTGCAGTGTCCAGCGATTGCGCCCTATGTAGCGAGTGCCAATTTGTCCAGTGGAATGCCCTACAGGATGCATGCTTGCGGGACTCTACAGCTCAGCCGCTGCGAGGCATCTCGTCCCTGGCACGACCTAATGTCGTGCAATTTTCTCAAGGCTTTAGTCTTCCCAGAGCGACAATTGCGATTATGCCAAAGGAATAGTGGCAGACTAGAAAATGTGGTCCTGGACTCGAGAACAGCAACTGTGTACTGTACCCACACAGTCTGTTCTTGCCTAGGTTTGCTTTTGTTTACGACGCCAACGCAGTAGCTTGAAATATTTGTCAGATTATTACCGACGAAACAAAAGCATCCTCCAACAAACTGTTGATAAAATGAACACTAATCATTCATCGCCATCACCGCAAAATCATCATCTGGTCCCAACGCAAGCCAATCCATACCATCACTCTTCGACGCGAAGACCGCTATACTGTGGTATTATGACAAAATCTGCCTTGCCAACAAACCTAATTTCATCTTGACTCCGACTCCGTCCCGAAAACCCGCCTTCCACTTGAAACCCGGGACTCGCTTGTACTCGGTGTAGACAGGCCACCCGATTATCGCCTCACCTCCTGAACCTTCACACGCAGCATGAATCCACGATCGCCACAGACACTACCTCTTGCTGGCGTGCGTGTGCCAAGGCGAGGCTTGGCTTTCAGTCAGTTTGGATTGGTCACGGTGCAGGATCTTCACGAACGTCACGCAGCTCTGAGACCTGAGTACATAGGCAGCAACACAACAACCAAACCATTGCATATTGCAGCTGCGTCGCACGCGCGTCGCTGATCTAAATTGGATTCAAGTGTTTGTTGGACGCAAAAGCTGAATGAACGGGAAAAAGCGATACGTATCATGGGGAAGAAATGTCTCATTATATGAACGCCCACCACGCGGGGTATGCCTACCAAGCCCCATGTAACGATGATCCTGTACATTGCCAAGGGAAGTTCCAAAATGCTCCAGATTGAACGCCGAAAATGCAATGTCGCGTGCAGCGGGCATTTGGGCTCTTGAGTCCACTGCGTCTTTTTAGACTTCAAGTCCGCCAACCATGTAGAAGAGCAAGTAGGCCTCCGCGGCGAGGACTTCTGCCTCTGTGGCAAGCACTACCTTGCTATCGTCAAACAAGAACCAGTCGTTGCCTTCGCGACAATAGTTGACATAGTGACCGGAATCGATTTTGCCCTTGTGCACAATGACGGTCGACAGTTCGTAAGTTAAGCTATTGGCTGGCGTGTAAGTATTGTAGTTTGTAGGTGGTGCACCTGTCGCCTTTACGATCTTCTTAAGACTCTGCTGATAGGAAGTCGTGTACGGATTAACGTCGAGCCTGAGAGGGAAGCTGACACGAGTTTCAATTTTGGATGAGGTAGCTTTGTTGTGCTCGAAACGCTACGCTTGTCAGCAGGATTATTTTCACTTCAACAAATCATCTAACCTTCAAGTGAACAGCAAGCACTGGTGGCAATTGCTTGATGCTCAACTGCTTTGTAGCATTTTGCGGGCTATCGCAATTTCGGCACGTATACTCTGCCGAGCCCAACTTTTCTCGTGCAGTGAATCGCTCAAGACAATCTCTGAGGTCTAGCAGAACCTCCTCACCCTTTTCGCCGTTGTGCTTCCGCTTTTTCGACTGGTTCCGAATGTCGAGACTGAGGTCCATATATGGGTCTTGCGCAGTTGTGACGTTACGACAACTGTCGCAGGTGACTGTGCTCGAAAGCTTGCCATAGAAGGTCTGGTGAACAACACATTTGCAATCCTCGGAGTCGGAATCCGTGGAGCCTCCGTTCGCTAGGTGAAGTGTGTTGAGTATGAATTGCATGTACTCGTGCGCGTCTTGTTGTTGATACCCCGCGAGTGCCTGCATCGCGCGTTAGCCCAGCTTCAGTACTCTTATGACCTGGCAATGTCTGATCTCACCTCTCCTGCAAGCCAGCTCCCCATGAGCATGCCAACAGCTCCGAAGCCTTCGTTCTTATCTGAGGAGTAGAACTCGACGAACATTTCGTCCAGCGCGCAGCTGACACATGCCTCTTTCTCGCATTCCGGCTGCCGGTGCCCCTCGGACAAGTAAAAGTTTCGGACGAACGGGTTGTGTATCAGGGTCTGAAGTATGACACTCATGAAGCATGTTTGCCCCATGTTGTACAGCCCGCGTAGGCCTATCGCTCGGCAAGGGAGGAAGGTCGAGTTGTTCACAATCAGCTTGACGTCGTCGGCGGTCGTGGAGTCTTCGAATTTGCGCTTCTTGCCTGCCAGGAAATTATTAGCTGGTGAACAGGAACATCGGCCTGCTGACGAGACCAACCCTTCTGCATTCTCCTGATCTCCAATTCAGGATCATAGATGAAGTCCTGGCAATTGCCGCAGTAGACATGACCGTCCCGTGATTCCACAGCTATGTATGTATCAGCACCCGCGATCTAGGCAAACCACGTGGATGCACCTACAGAAGCAGTGTGACTTTGTCTCGAAGTGCTGGTCACGATCGGCTTCGGTCATGATGTTGGGGCATTGCAGGCAGAGGTAGAGCGGACGGAGCGATACGACTGGACTGCTATCGGTCGAAGACTTGTATGTCTGGGCGATTATGCTCGGCTTCTCGTGTATGTTGCGCAGGATGTCGCGGTAGTATATGAGAGTCTGCTTGCGCGCGTTCTCGAGCATCTCGCCCATGTGCTCTGTGTCGCGGTCAGCCAGAAGCCTTTTACAGAACAGGGTGACATGCCACATCCATAGGCAATATGCGCCATCTGGCTGCTGGGTACAATGTTGCCCTTGGCATTCTTCACAACCTTTGGCGATGCCAGCGACACCGCCTTGGGGGCGACTGCGATTGTGTCCATGATGCCTCCTTTGCCGATGGCGACCTAAGGCATGGCATGCGGGATTGTGGAGGCCCAGTCGTGCCAGGAGGCTGAGCTACCAGGAGGCGATTGCAGTCGCAATGCACGGTCAGAACGGCGGAGTTATGCTGCGGTACTGTGGACCTGCATGAGACCAATGATGGTGTTGGAGGAAGCTATGCCGCTAGTGGATCTCCCGCCCGGCGCTAGACCGAACATCGCTTAGACAGATCTTGAGCGCCACATCTGGCACGTGCGTGGCGGTGCAGATGCTGATTTTTCCCGGATTACCCCACCCAACTGTTGAGTTATCCGCTGAATTATCCGTTCCAGTATATCCAAAGCTGATGAGGTGTGCTAGGTCACATTGTTAGCATATGTTCGTATCAATTTCAGTTCTTTTCATCCAAGCATCAAGACAACGTGCCAGAGTGGTTAATGGGTATGACTCGAACGACCACCTCTACTAGATATCATATGCCTTCGGGCGCGCAGGTTCGAATCCTGCCGTTGTCGCTTCGTTTTTGCCCTTCTTTTGGTCTCTTCTGGGCCCTGTTGTGTCCAAAAATGAGTTCTGTAGCCTCGAATTTGGTGTGGATGGCGGTGCCAAGCATTCCCGCCACGCTAGCGCGATCGGCCCACGTGCCTCGGCAATCTCGACGACCTTGAACTTCGAAAAGATGCATTCACTTTTTGAGGCTATATTACTTTGATGCACGCACAAAGAAGCCTCGCTTCCGCGACGCTTCTTGGCGAGATGCTTTTATGCTGTGCAGTGGGTACCCTCAGACCCAAACCGCTATATGAACCTCAAAGACAATTTACAAGGAGACTACTACAGCTCCAGCCCATCTCACAATGCAACAAGCTTAAATAAAACTGGAGTACTTTAATCGATGGTTTGAATGGATATGTGCGCCAAAACCCCCTTTACTTTCTACTGTCGCATCGACAATGTGCATGTTGAAACCTCCGAGATCGCTCTGATAATGTTCTTTGAGGTTGTGGCGATGGAGGAGACAACGTGAGCGATGATGATGCAGTCTGGTTAACATTTTGAGAATGGCCCTTCGTCACCTCAGGCTAGACCTATTGTTATGTAAGTATCAGGTAGTGACGCAACGCATGCGCGATCGGCCCACAGCAGCCGTTCCATGGTTCAGTTCGAACGATTACAGAAGGCTGTATAGCCTCAAAGAATTACTAAGATGAAGCAAAGAATACCAAGTTTTTTCGATTTAAGCGATACGACAAAAGTGGCTGCATGCGCGAACCGGAGTCGTGTAAGCCTCCATTAGAAATGAAGCTATCATAATCGCGGCCATCCAACGCAGCCCTGGAGCTCAACTTGGCGTGTTCGCTTGAATTTCCAGTGACCTGGTTTGTTGCAATCTAGCAATTGGTGGACTGGCAATAACTGGAATATAGCATACCTAAATATATCCAGAAGAGCTTCGGGAAGTTTGAGATGATGCTATCAACAATTTCAAGGTGATGTAGACATACGCGATGCTGTAAGACCTGGACCACCACAGCTTGATCTCTAAGCGAAGGCATTCGCGCTCAGGTATCCTTCGTAAAGGCGAGTCCCGAGCATGAGACGAGCTAGCTCGCGTTTTTGTGCGCGCTATAGCCATAGATGAAGCATGGGCATGGCAGCTTAGAGGAATACAATAAGATGAAGGACGAGAAAGATGAAGAGGATGAGGAGAACGTTACTCTGGAGTGACTCTCTGGAGGCCTAGTGTTTGGTGTGACAATTTCTCTACATTCGTGCTGGCATTTGGCTGGACAGCGTTTTCACATTCGCGCTGGGGTCGGGCAAGTCAACACCTTCACATTGGCGACGGCCACCGAACAACTCTTCAAACTCTACCCCAGCTTTTCCTACTCTTCTTCTAAGTTGTCTTCCGTCAAGTTGAGCCCGTACCCTAGCATTGGCTTATCACACCCATTAGCACCGATACCAACTCCGAGCCGTCTATGCACTGAAGGCCTCCACTAGCTCAATGAGAAATACACAGCCAGAACGCTCGATAAAGGTGCCGAATCATTACCAACAACAACGAGACTCGCTATAGTTCTTTGTACCTCTAGTCTATCAGAAAGGTGTGGAACTTATGGTACTCCTGTACGATTTCCAAGCAGCATTCAGATGCAACTACCTGAAAGAATTATGTGACACTGGAAAACATGCAATTCACTAAGTACTCGAACTCAAGCTTGTTGTCAATTTGTTTGTTTCCCGTTCAATTGCACGGCTCCGTACTGTACTGCGGAAGCAAATCACTAACGACAACTTGTGTGTAAAATGCCCCATATCCTGCATGATCAAACCCATGAACTCAACAGAAGCCACCGTACTCTTTTTTAGTCATTCAGAAGGCAGCCTAGGGCATTTTCACCAGAAAACATTACACTCCTTGCACCGTTTTGTCTTCAACCTGACCTCGGACACAAGCTCTTGCCAACCTCAGTGCTTCTTGAGCCGCACAGAAGCTCCTCCTTAAGCACAATTCTCAAAATCGAGCAAGCTGAATGACATCAAATTGGTAATGTAGAGCTGAACCAGGTGATACCAAGCAGCCTGCACCAGGTGCAACACTTGTTCGCACATGTTCAAGCTCAATTGTCGTCAACAAGAACCAGGCAGCTTTGTTTTTGAAACATAGATCTGATAGTCTTCGGGACATTTTGGTCCCCATTTTGTTTCGAGTAAGCTTTTGCGACTACATGGCCTTCTGTGGGCACGACAAGACCCAGAAGAGACCAAAAGAAGGGCAAAAACGAAGCGACAACGGCAGGATTCGAAGAATTCTCACCAAAGTGATGATTTAAAATTAACATAAGGACTAGACGAGAATCTTTGAATTCCGCGGCCTTCCACCCCAGCTATGAATCCCACATTGTCGTTTGTGATACTCTGGTTGACGTGGTCGTACTTCACCGCCTTCACATAGGCCGTAGCGCTGACATGAAACTAACGGTATTGCTGGTGGATTGACATATCTTTGAAAACCTGGTGAGTGATCTGCAGGTCAAAGTTAGAACGATCATGTGAATTAAGGTTTTCTCGCGCACTTATCACTAACACCTGCAGCTAGACTGAGGCATAATTAGAAAGTTAAAGCAAGAGGAGATCACAGCAGCAAGCATATCTCGAGTTCGTGCATTGACAATTACATGTAAAAGCACGTAGCCAGCCGTGTAAAGTTGACATGCTCTGTCCAATTGGTATCTCCTCACATTTGCCAAGCAGTACCTGGATGTCACGGAGATGTTCCACCCTCCACGGCTCTCTGCACCTGATTTGTTGCTTTGAAACACAACACGGCGCTCAAACATGATTCCAGCCATGCGCCTCAAGATCGATTACTCCAAATGCTTCCACCTGACCTAACGTTCGCGTCACCAGCATAGTTATCACGGAACCGCAAGAACGTCATGACATATAGCCCGCTACTGTGGAGGATCAAGTTTACACGGGCAGCCAACGGTAGTATACCTGAATATAGAGCCCAGATATCCATGACGGCGAGGACTTTCTCGAACTATCTTCTCGACACTGGCGGAAGGAAAGCATGGGCCCGATTACTGCAAGGGCACGGAGAAGAGAAGGATACATAGACCTCGCTGAGCATTCATCGATTTGCCGTTTCAGAAAATAATATAGGACGCTTATCGTCCCTTGGCTTGGTGCGCGAAAAGAGCTGGGGAAGGACCGTTCACTGAAGACGACATGTTCACTGTCTTTGATAGCATCGGTTCCATTTTGATCGAATAATCAAACAGGGAATATAGCACCAACAATCAAATTCCAACATCCAGGTTTGCAGAAATCCACCGATGCCGAGTGTGTCAACCAGGACAGTTTATATTGTCTCACCACGCTGAGGACCTCGGGAGGCTTCAACTTGGTTGCTTCAAGGTTGCAGATGCAATCCTCAATTGTTCGTGTTAACGACCTTGAAGATACCGTTATGCCAACGGATTATCGGTACGAGGTTTTCGACAGTTATGCTTATCTATACAGCAGCATTCCTGGGTGTAGGTGCCCAGGGCGTTGGAGTGAGCCTAGGGGTATCCGGCTTTGAGACTCGGTGCTTATGTTGTGTTGCATCTCCTCGCAGGGAATAGTACATCGAATGGCACTCGAGATGTGGGACCAAACTAAGCCAAGCATTGATGTGGCAAGTGTCATATCGGGCATTGGCGACGTCGAGGTGAAGACGGATGTTATGTCCTCGATGCAGTATTGATCGAGCCGGTCTCTAAGAATTGCAGAAGGAACGTATGCTCGATTCGTGTGGCAGAAGTGCTGCTCATAGATCGTCGTCGCTCACTGCGTGGAGGTGAAGGTCGGGTCGGCTATCTGGTGGTCTGTAGTCAGTCAGACAAGTTTCCTGGCGCGTTGGTTAGCTGAAATCATCCATGAAACAGTCAATAATGTTTCGCGTGCCGATGATTGAGGAGAGATTGACTTTCGACCGGGACATGTGAGTTCTGCAATCCTCGGCTCCGGACCCGAACCTAGTCTGGTAAGAGCGCATTCGGGCCTTCGCCCGCGGTAATGTCGTTTCCTTGAGCTGAATACATTACTACTGATGACTTATCGTCTTTGTAATTGATCTTGATGCGTGACCATACTGGGGGCAAGCCAGCCGCTTTGTCATGTTCAGCTTTTGGTGCGGGTGTACCCGAAATGAGTGAGAAAATAGCCGGATTATCGATCGAGTAATACAATACAGTAAGAGCATCAAGTGTCGTATGATAGCCATGGCTTCTGGAGGAATTGATAGGTGGTGAGGGAGCAAAGTACTGGCCGGGCGAGCCCATGACCGGCCTCAGAGTTGCATTTCGCGACACAACGGACATTAGCTAGGGACAGCGAGAGTAGTGAAATCATACCGAGCTTTATAATGACTGTTAAGTAATATATGCTTTGAGTAGAAGATCGTTACGGATCTCGTGCCGAGATTCTTTACGACGATGCTGTGTAATTTGTGAGCCAATCGTAATAATTACTCTGAGCTCTGGGGAACTGATCCCCTTGAATCGTATCAGTAACCACACGTCCACCAAGACGAAGCTTCATGATTCCACAGATGAGGCTGCGATCGTTCTGAGTGTTTTGGTAACAATCTTGGCGTAGTTTGATCCCTCAGCAGTGCCCGGTCAGCTACGCACCTCGCTAATATGTCAATAACACGTAGATGCACATACGCAGTCAACAGAGTCGTTTGCGTACATTGTAAGTCGCGTCAACCGTCAAGGTCCGGCTTCGCAGTCTGTCGTCAGTGAGCGAGTCTGTCGGCGTGAACCCGGCATGCACCCCCTCTGAACGTCACCTGCTCTCAGTCCTTTGACAGCGAGCCCTCATTAGCTTCACGAGTACGCTAAACGTTTACACCACTTACTGCTAGGGCAACAAGTACCCACAGTCGCGATCGCAAAGCACACCCATACATCCACGCTCAATCGAACCCCTTCCACCCATCCACGCGGTCACATCAGAC